TTTTTGCTTCTGAATAATTTTGTACATCTTGTATTTAAACTAAGCTCTCTTACTCCAAATCTTCTATATTTAAGTATTTGCATCCTATATATTGTGTGCTCCCATAATGGAATTAAATTCTTAAATATATTTATTTAAGCAGAGGTAATAGGGAGCAAAATGCTGTGCTTATGAGAACCCCATTGTAATTAGTCATTTAGGGTGAAAAGCAGTTTGGACAAATGTTCTATGGAGGATTTATTTTAAGGATTACAGAATTGAAGGAGATTTGTAATTATTATAAGTCTTCATATTTATATCTTTTATAGATGTATTTAATACATTTCCTTTCAAAGTAGTCCCCTAAAACTTAGATGGCGGCAATAAGAGGTTGTGAAAATGCTAGGGAATTCTCATTAAAATTCTTTCCTGTGTAGAACCTACGCAATTGGAGTTTCTGTGAAACTTCACTAGTAGCTGGTGAACATTGTACAACAGTCAATTGAATCTCGCCTGAGGCCACTTACGAGAAACATCGCACAATGACATGTGCCTGCCAGTCTAAGTATCATAGTCAACCATTCCATTTTTAGCCTAGAAATGCTGTTCTACATAGTCAACTGAATTTTTCTGCAGCTTAGAAAAGGTGAATGAATATGCACACCACCACCTACTAACTTCTGTACAGGATTCTTTAACTAATGGAAGATTACATCATAACCCAGGAAAATTAAATAGGCATCAGTATACTGTTGACTAAACAAGATTGAGTTTTGAAGCATTTAGTAACGAGATGCCAAGCTTTTGTATGCACCTCATCCCTTCCTTTTCATAACATGGTGTTTAGTATCATAATTTTGTGCTAAATTATTTTTCCATCCCAATATCTTGGCTTGCAGCCTATGTCATCGCACAAAATGTAGATGCATTTTTTTTCCTCCTTTCTATAGTCATGGCTTTTCAAAAATTTATGGAAATAATTATAGGGTTCTGACATGTTTGTGTTTGTTAAACTATTGTGCACATTGTTTAAATTTAAAATACAGGGGCTTTGGGAAGGTTTATTTTTATAAATATATATGAATGCTTATTTTATGAAAATCTGAGTGGAGTTCCAGGCTTTAAGTATGAAACCATGTTTTTCTTTTCTTTTTTTTCTCCCAAACTCAAAATTACCAGTACTGTTTTCCCTTGGAAAGATTGACAAAGGCATATGATATATTGACCTAGTTTTATAAATGTTAAAAACTAAGGAAATTTTTTATAAGAATGTGCCACAATGCTGGAGACATTGTGGTAGCTTGAGATAACTTTGGCAATTGCTTGAGGAGGTTATAATTCTTGAGATATTCAGGAAAAGTTCCTTGCTTGAAATACATTTATGGTGTTAGAATCTTTTACATTTGATGTCATGCAGATAATGTCGGTATGCATGTGCAAGGTCTAAATGTCTGATGAGATTTCAGTGGTAAAGAGTATTTTGGAAAAGTTGTTGTCCATTAAATAGTTGATTAAATTACTGTATTTCAATTTCCTTTCTAAGATGACAGGTTTTGCCAGTGGCTTTAGGGTATATACTTTGATATACCACTGCTAGGTCACACTTTACCCATCGACCAAGAGTTTTAGGCCCTATTGACTGAACAAGATTTCCCCATTTCTAGATCCTTACCCCCCACCCTTCTAAAGTTACTGTTATGAACACCCCCAGTCCTCTGCTCACTGTCTCAACAAATTTTGAATGGTCTTTTTTTTTTTTTTTTTTTCTCCTTTCCATTTCATCTTTTTCTGTTCACTATTCCTAGTTGTTAAAACTCCTTTTTGATGTTTTCGTCTAAATACTTTATCTTAATGCTCCCTACTTCCTAAACTCCTTCACCTTCTAACAGCCTTCTGACCTTGTACTATACCCCATCAGCTCCCCTTCTCTACCCTTTTCACTACCATACCCCCCAATCCCTTGCTCCTTGTCATGGGCTGGCATAGGAGGCGGAGACAGAGGCCCAATGTAGGGATCGCCCCTGCCTTTGACCTCGCTCCTCGCCTCGACTAATTTTGCAGGGTCTTTTCTCTTTCCTTTTCCTTCTCTTCTTCATCCCCTTTGTCTGTCCACTTGTCCAAAATTTTTAACTCCTATTTACCCTTTTGGCCATAATACTTTACCATAATGCTGTGTAGCATTTGATGCCTTGTACATTTGTTTGTTTTAACCCAATGGCGCCGGGTGTACAAAAGAAAAAAAAAACTCTACGCTTAAACAAACAAAGGCGGCGCGCCGACTTTGAGCGCGTGAGTAGGGGACATCAGCCCGAATCACTGGCTCGCCGCGCTTTAGCGAGCCGCCGGCTCGTTCAGCTGCACGCCAGCTTTCGAGCTCTTTGTTTACACGCCGATCGGCGTCACCCGGCACCAAGGGGTTAATCACTGACCATTCTGGAAATCCACAAACATTGCCTTACTGAACCATATATGCCACTAATGACCCTAGATGATGATGCAGATAATTTTTAATAAATTCACTACCATACCACCTGCTAGTACTGTTGTACCTATAACTTTACCCTAATTATTCATTCACACCTAACCCTTTTTGCTACTCTGCTAAAGCGCCATATGAGCTTTGATACCATAGGTGCACTTCCTAGAGAATGAATAGCTTCACAATTCAAGAGATGTATTTGACCGGTTTCGATTATATCTACGTCAGAAATACACACGTGATGTAAATTAAACCGGTCAAATACATATCTTGTATTGGGAAGATATTCATTCTCATTCGTACCTTTTCTACATTTGTCAATATGAATACAGTTCATGAATGAATGCACTTCCTTATCTGGGGGCTTTGCCCCCAAGCGTCATGCTATCGTTTTATTTTGAATTTGCTGTTAATGACCTTAGATGTGGCAGAAAATTTTCAAGAAATACTATTATGACAATTTTGATATTATAATAAAAGGGAAAAATAAAACTTTCCAAGAATCAAGGAAAAAAGATGCAGATGAGAAAGGTCATTCGTGTAAACAAACAAAAATATATATCATGCCATCTGTGGTCACTGATGATCATTTTCCTCTGTATAGGCCATTCACAAGTAAATCAATCTATCCCCCCCAGTCCCTTGCTCACTGTTGCTGTAGGAGGCAGAAACTGAGGCCCAGTGTCTGGGATCACCCCTGCCTTGGACCTCAGCCCTCGCCTCAACTAATTTTGCTGGGTCTTTTCTTCTCCCCCTTTCCTTTTCTTCTTCACCCCCTTCTTCTGTCCACTTATCCAAATTGTTAACTCTTGTGTAACCTTTGATGCATGGTACATTTGTGTTTGATCATTGACCATTCTGGATATCCACAAACACTGCCTTACTGAAACAAAAAACTTTACTTGGGGACTTTGCCCCCAAGCCCTACCCCATTGCTATGTTTTCTATACATCACTAATAGCCTTAGATGTTGACACTGCAGAAATCTAGAAGATCTTCCAAAAGTGGGCAAACTAGTTTTCCCATTGTTTCGTCACCAGTGACATCACTTTTACTTGTGTACATTTTTCTTGTGATCTTGTGAATTTTCTTGTGTGCCTGCTCACATTTACAGGCCCTGGTGTCCATGTGATCAAGCCAGGCTAAGACTAGTATAAAGGAAGGTGACAGTCAGGTGCAGTCCTATCACCATGTTGCTCAGTAAGGCCCCATCCAGACAAACGGGCAGTTCCCATTAGGCAAACACTGTAACCAGATAATGTTTTAAACCAATGTTTAGAGGATGGTTGGTGGGCATGGGACCCTTCCCAACATTTACTGGACATCACCTGTATGGACAACAACACAGGTGTGCCTAGTGGTAACTGATGGCTGATGGCTGCTGGGGACTACAATATGGTAACACTGCTAAACAAGCGTGAAATATCCACTCTCCGACCATTGCCTGACAGTCACTGCCTGTTCGTCTGGATGGGAACTTAAAATTTCTGCAGACTATTAAACCATATTCACATAAATGAGTACTGCATGACAGGCACTTGCTTAATGCCTATTGTTTGGTCAAACCAAAAGGGGGTGTCTGAGCCAATGGTTGAGCTAAATCGGCAGGTAAGTCCATCTGCCTGGTAGTTAGAGCATTTGCTACTGGATACAGATAGACAGCCCTGCCAGATACCAGCACCTCCATGGAGTGTATGACACATTTTAATTGGTAAACAAGCAAAGGCCTTAAAGCAATTTAATTTTAATAATTTTTTTTTTTTTCTCTCTTTTTTTTTTTAGTTTGATTCCATTTGTTACAATGGATATTCTTGGTGTGACATACTGTCTGTTTTTTATTTTGCTTCTAAATTATCCCCTGTGTGCAAGCAATGGCCAGGGTTACCAGGGATTCAAACGCAGGTCAGCAAGATTGCTACATGAGATCGCTACCGCTGCACCACACAGCACATGAGTAATGTCATGTGTTTAACAAATGCAGAAGCAACCGATATAAAAAATGGTAGCTATTAAGAAAAGCTGCATATAAGGATGGACACCCCTCTCACAATGTCACAGTATGTGTACATGGTGAACTGAACTAGTTGGGATAGAATAGACCCAATTCCCTTCTATAAACAAGTAATATACATATAAGCAAGTGAGTGAATATAGCAACAGAAGCTTCACTCAAGGTGTTTTAAGTGGATGTAGCTGTATATGGCTGAATTATCATCAAGGATATCTTTAATACAAATCCTAAGTGTCAAGTAATTTATGGAATTAAGATTTTTTTCATCTAAGCAGTTGATGGTAAAATAGCTGTGTGCTAGTTTCTGTATTTGCAGTTTATAGTAATTACTTTGTGAATGCTCATTTTCAAAATAATTCTCACTGTTATATTCTCAATAGGCACTGTCCACCATGAGTACACCTCCATCACTTTTTCAGTAGCTTTCACCAGATCGAACAGTGCCTGGTGGGCTTTGATCATTACCATGTAAAGTCTGCAGTCATGTATTTTGTTATCCACCAACAATCATGGGACATTTTGAGAGAGTGCTTGTGATTTCCCCATTTATTATGTCATTTCCTTTTGTACATGCCACACAGCATCAACACATGTGAATTGTAACATGATTTCATAATAGTGTTTGGTCACTAGATGGATGGAATCTACTCCAGGATTAGCCTAGAACACAATATCTGTAGGTTACATAGTTGGGTTGGTCTCCACTCATTGGGTCAAAATTTATTGAGCCATTATAACCAACTAGATGATGAGATGGATGATTGATGCAATATTAATGATACTGATGTTATATCTACATTTATTCTTAGAAATCTGCCATACAACTTGCTTAAAAATCATCTATAAAAAAATATTGAATCCATTTATTGATGGTTAGTTACTGATTTTCCTTAAAAGAAAAAAACAATTAACTTGAGCCTTAAAAAACGTACAGGTTAAATTAGCATCATTTCTGTATAACACATTGCACTAAAAAGATGTTCTCTTCAAACTTTCACTGTCTAAAGCTGCCAAGCTTGGAAAAAATGTAAATAAATGTAACAGACCTGATTTTTATCTTTGGGTAAAAGAAATTATAAAATAAGATACGATTTTACTTGTGAAAATAGTTTGTAGCAAGTATGACATGACAGCATTACCAGGTAAACATTTTTTTTTTTTAATATATACTTCAATATTAGAGGATTGTTCAAAATTACTATTTACACAAAATTGACTTCAGTATCTAGACACATTAAAATTTCAAAATACATATTTTACATTTATACAGCTGACAGTTTACTGAAAATCACAACCATATACCTTTCAGTAACTTGAAAACAATTAACAGTTCTGAAAATACGAACCCCAATAAAACATTACACAAAAAATAATCAATTCAATACTGTACAGTCTGCATAGTATAGAAAAGAAAATCCAAATACATTAAAATAAATGAAATATCTCACAATTTACACTGATAATCACTGGAAATGACCTAAGCATCGTAAGGTGGCAACCCGTAGAGCTCGGGCTTGAAATCTTCTAGTGACTTGAGGACCTGAGTAGCACCTTTGGTCATTTCCTCCTTCATGCGAGGATCTGGGACCATCACAACCTGCATTCCTGCTGCCACACCTGCTGCCACCCCATTCGGCGCATCCTCAAACACTAAGCACTGGAAAATGTCAGGAGTCGAAAGTAAGGGGTATCGTCTAATAGTAGGTGGGAGTTAGAGTCCACTCTTTCATTGGAAATAACTGAATTATCTAACATCTTTTCATTCTAAGTAATTATTAGTAACATGCTATATTACTACTACTTTCTTCATTTTACTTTTATCATGTTAGGATTAATATTATGATTATTTTTTATGGAATATATTTAGCTGATGGGTTATTCATATTCAAAGTATAATAATCTAATTGTTAAAATATTAATGCAATGAAAGAGAAACAAATAAACAGCATCAGGTATTGACATGCTTTCCCCTCACAAACTCCTTTCATTGCCAGGCATGTGAAATTTACTTATAGAGAAGGTATTGGAGCAGTAATATTTAGTAGATGTTATGCATTAACTTATTCCACCAACCATAAGACAAAAGAAAAACATGTCTAGTAAAATTCATAGAGCAAGACTTTGTAAAATTAATGTTTTTTGAATGCCAAAAGGTTGGGCTTTACAAAAAAAAAAGTAGTACCACCCATGTCTTTTTGTGGGGGAAGGATAAAGGAATATAAAGTAAATCTAAAACAAACTTCACACAATATCTCTGTTGAAAGGTTAAGGAATAAAACAGACTCCTCTTCACTTACCTGTTCCGGTTTCGGCGTATCGGGAAACCTATTCGCGCACACGAGAAACACGTCCGGCGCTGGCTTTCCATTCTTCACTTCTGGGTCCGTGGAGGCTAACACCACATGGCTAAACTTGGACATTAATTCCTTGTGATTGGTTGTCTTGAGCTCAAAACTATCTTGAGCTCCCCCTGATGCAATGGCAATGGGAATGTTGTGTTTATGGAGGTGAAACACAAGCTTTTCTGCACCTACGGGCACATAAAATATTCATATAAACTTTGTTTTTCCAGGACAGAATATCATTAAATGCATAAATGGAATCACATGCTATGCAAACAACTGCAACCTTATTACTTAGCAAGTCATTGACTTCATATATTTCTTTTCTTGAAATTCATGAAAATTAATACTGAAGATACATAGCAGTTTAGTTATTAACTTACCTGACAATGTAAAAAATTGATGTTATCATATATATAAGTATATATTTTTTTAAATCAAAGATAGCAAGCAATTTAACTCAAATGCTTTTACATTCATAATTACATGCTACTTCACATTATTTTTCATGCTCAATTTCTTTGCTTGTTGCAATAAAATATAACTTCAGTATCATTTTCTTCTGGAAATAATGGCAATTCTGTTAATGAATTCACTGAATCCTTGTAAAAGAATAAGTAAATTCTATGAAAAAATGACTTCATGTGATTACTTTAGCATCTAATGATATTTTGTTTAAAAAATATATTTACCAACTATAGTATATTCAATATATATTCAAATATAACTTCATCTTATACTGAACTGTATATATCAAAATATATCAAACTTGAGAACAATCAATAATGCTGCAAGTGACAAAAACATTTCTAGAAGAAGCACCTCCAAGCTCTCCAACGTGCAATTGCTTACCCAAGTAACAGTACGTAAGCCAATAAATCTAATGAGCACAGCCAGGAGTATTTTCCATTCCATTCCATGCAAAATCATTACCAAAAGACATTTAGCATTCACCACATGCCCACAAATGTTTAGGATACAAAACATTAAGTTAATTGTGTATTTTTTTTTCTCTCTAAATAAATTTCCTTAGTATCTAAAAGTTATATTGCACACCAATACCAGTAACAATTTTCACAGTTAATAAGAAGTCCTTAGTCCCTCCATTCTAATACCAATAATTCAAGTCTCTTTTATCAAAACAAAAGAAATGTATCATGCTTATTTATATCTTGGGCCCATATCCTAAATGAAATACTGTATTAGTAAGTATATATATTATTTTTCTACATTTCCGTGTAATGCAAAAAACTTACTTGTATATTAACATATTCTAATTTTTGGTAATAAAATCTATATACATGAAAATAACTTTCCAAAAATTGTGGAAAATTTATCGCTATTTGAATCCTTTTGCCTAGTGCCAACAGAAAACAAGAAAGACATGCCCTACATACAGCCATACATACACCATTCAACGATCCCACTACGAGAACTAAATACACGCGACACTAAAAGCATATCCAAAGCAGAGCAAAGAGAAAAACACTGTCCATATCCTAAATACCTTTCATCAATGCAACTGTTGGAAATACATCAAAATAGTAGGAAGCAACTTTTTCTTTGTACTCTTCAGGTGAAATTGGGAGTTTAAAAAAAGCACAAAAGGTCCGTGCAACCTCTAATCCTGTGTGCCCCATCTCTGACATAAGCTGCTCCCAAGTTACTGACTGTCCATAAGGTGCAAGAGCTCGATTGTGACATACAATGTACAAGCCGACTGTGTCTGCAATGAACAACATGCTGATGAGCAGCTGCAATACATCAACACGGAATCATAATACAAAAATGCGTTGTGCTTGCAAATACATTTCTTTTCCCACGGCTTCTAAAAAGTCCTTTCAGCCTCAAATGTTGACACTGTGGCATGTCATCCTTATAATCATTCAGTTTCTTCTTCAACTACACCTCCAATGTTAAGTACAACTTCTACACTGTTAGTATGTTACCATTGAAGAAAGAACAGAAGAGAAGTTATGGTCACAAATACCACCACAACCACAAAGATTCATGTTTTAACCCACTACAAGACAGGATTTTGTACATTCAAATAATGCACTATGGCACACTTGCAAAACACAAGCCCATTGGAAACTGCACAGCAAAAACAACACCAAGAGATCTACACGAGAGTAATTAGTGGATCTTAACTGGAGCCTGGCCTACCTGGTAGAAGCTGTGCTTGAGGGAAATTCTTTTTATATTCCTCCTCAACCTTGACAAGATATTCTGATGGTGACAATGGCAATTCTAAGGCATTTATGATTCCTTTGGCCAGTTCAGTGCCTACCCGCCCCATGAGAGGCCACTTTATCTCCCAGGTATATTCCTTCCCATAAGGACTAACCACAGCCTGAGTTGAAGCTGAGTAAAGCTTCTCAGTGTCTGAAAGAATCGTAATCGGATACTGCACGCAATCAAATATGATACAGAGGCACACAAATAGATGTTAAAACAAATAATGGCAAAAAAATGTGGTACAGAAGCAGACACCAAACACAAGTAGACAGTTTAGTAATATAAAGAAAGAAATGTAAACCCTCAACATATTTTCTGCCCTTACATAAACAAGAATTTCCTAGAGTACCTTGCTAAAGACGATGTCAAAGTGAACAAAAATGGTACCATATCCCAGTCAATGACCTTAATTACAGATCATCACGAGTTGCTTTCAAAAACAAAACAAAAAAGCTGTTAAAGTAGTTTGATAATAACCTCACTAAACTTTATTTCACCTACTATTAAAATCCTATCCAAATAATATTCAGTTTAACTCAAAATCACCCTGACTTTCAACATGAGTTTCCTCTCAAGCTTAATTCAGCATGCCTCACTATAGTATAAAGAGCCACAGAACAATATGTACATATAACAAAGCACACATCATAGAAATCGGTTAAAAGACTTCATTCAATCCACTTTTCCTGCGCAGTACCACCACACGTGATTGGCTCCTCAATAGAGAACAAAATCCCCAACCGTAGGCCTGTTTTCCTCTGACAGATGGCAAGATGTTGAAGATATTCTCTTTATTAACCAGCAAAACAATACAGGACACTAGAGCAAAAGCAATAAGATTATCACATTCTAATATTTCTAACTAAACTTACTAAGATTGAGGCTTTGAGATAATTCTAAAGCATTGCAAGTGAGACTACTTGTAGTTAATGTATTGTGATGGATAATATG